ATGTATGTTCTGTTATTTATTAAGGTTATTCGATTGTTAATAAAAATGTGTAAATTTTGTAAGATATTACCTATTAATAGATTAAATTATGTACAAGCAAATACGCGCCATACATTTTAATGTATTTGCATAATGAAGTAATGTAAAACTGGTTCGGTCGCTGCGCCCGCATCTTCGGGATAGCAGATCGCCAGTTCAACCGCTTCCGCGTTGCACGTTGTACGTGTCATGTATACGTTGTTTGCCTAAGACCCACGCTTACGCAGTTTGTATCATTTAAATTCTTCCTTCTGTATATTTCTGAGTGCCCAGTGCCAATAAAAAATACAGGCTGGCCGGACCAATTGACGTCATAAAATTTTTTTTAGGTCCGGCAGGTCGTGGGGTATTCGAATTACCCTCATGTATGTTCCGCGATTTTCGATAGTTTCGAGTTCGAGGTAAATTTCGAATTTTTTTTTAATTTTTGAAGACGGTCAAGTCTTCAAAAATTAAAAAAAAATATTTGAAGACTTTTTTGAGATTTTTTATTTTTGCAAATGAGTCTTCATGAGTTGTCCTTTTACGCATAAAATAATCAACTTCGTATCTTTACTAAAAGTGATGAAATTTTTGGTCTAAAGTTAAAAATTTACGTTTTGTGAGTTATTTCATAAATTTTTAACTTTAAATTAAAAATCTAAAAAGGTGGAAATTCAAAATCTAAGCATGTCTGAAAAATGCGCCAGGCTCCTAGCTTTCATAATCATAAAAAAAGAAAATTACTACTTAATAGGACTTATTTGGCTAAAATCGGTCTTCAAAGACAGCAAGTTGGAAAATTATTAAAATTAGCCAACTAAATTTTTTGCCATAATCATCTTTCATGAGACTAGTTACTTTGTTAAGTACTAAAAATAACTGCACATCACTTTGGTTTAAACATTTGGACGTTTTCGGGTCATTTAAAAATTTTGAAGGGGTATTAATTTTATCACATTTAGTTTAAAATTTGATGCAAAAACGACCGTTTGTCGCGGATCATGGATAATAAACAGGGTAACTTTTTACCTGCAATAACAAAAGGATAATAAGAGACCATATTGCTATCTCTCTCAGTCTTGATGGCGTGAGGGGCCGAGCGCAACCGAATCAACGCAAAACAAGTTCGTTAGCTACGAACCAACTTCAGTTGTGTTCACATTGTGTTCGCTGCTACTTGTGTCGCCATTTTGTTTGCCTCTGCTCTCGGACTCCGCCATTACTTACTTGTTTGACTACTTTGCTCGTTTACTGGACTCTGTCTTACATTCTGATTTAGACGTTGTTTACTTGAAAGTGTAAGAAATGAGTTACACTTTAAGTGAGTATGCAGAAATGCATTATTTTTATGGAGTTGCACGAGGAAACGGCGTTGAAGCAGCGCGTCTGTATCGCGAACAACTTTAACGTCGTGGTGGGCCGCAACCGCCGTCTTATCCAGACCATCGTATTTTTATTAACACTCACAATACCTTGATGGCAGACCACATTCCTGGTCAACGCGGAAATCATGAAGGAATCCTTAGAGTAGACCCTGATCGCAGAGAAGTGGTGCTGGAAGAGGTTGAGAGAAATCCGTCAACGAGTACGAGAGCTATGGCTCGTGGTCTGGACATCCCAAGGTCTTCTATCCAAAGTATACTTCACGAAGAAGGATACTACGCATACCACATTCGACGAGTCCAAAGTTTACTACCTGCAGACTATCAATTGCGCATTAATTTTTGGCAAATCATGTTACAAAAACATGAAGAGGATCCTGGTTTTTTCGATAAAGTACTATGGTCGGATAAATCAAGGTTTGAGCGATGTGGGATATTCAATATCCATAATTACCACACGTGGGCGATTGAAAATTCACACTCTGCGAGAACTTCAACGTTCCAACATCGTTTCAGCGTTAATTTGTGGTCTGGGGTCCTCAATGGCGAGTTAATCGGTCCATTTGAGTTGACGAGCAGACTAGATGGAACAATCTACAAAAACTTCTTGGAAAATGAACTTCCATTGTTGCTGGAAGACGTAAATCTTGAATTTAGACGCAGTATGATGTTCCAAAATGACGGCGCCTCTTGTCACTACGCCGTACAAGTACGAAATTTCTTAAATGCAACGTACCCCAACAGGTGGATTGGACGCGGTGGTCCAATTTTGTGGCCTCCACGGTCACCGGACCTTAATCCAATAGCTTTTTTCATTTGGGGCTACTACAAGGAAGTAGCATACGCTCGTGAATGTCACAATGAACAAGGCAGAAGCTTTGCGAAGCCCAACGTGTGGTCAGGGATAACAGAGAAGCTTTTAGAAGATTGAAACGCAATTTTTTACGCAGGTGTAGGTCATGCATTACTGCTAGAGGTGGTCACTTCGAAAACTTACTGTAAAGTTTAAAAAATAAATTCTTCTACATTTTCATCTACTTTTTACATTATCGTTAATTTTTCATGATCAATCTTATTTTCCAACATTCTCTCATCATTAATTAGCCTCATGAATGATGATTATGGCAAAAAATTAAGTTGGCTAATTTTAATAATTTTCCAACTTGCTGTCTTTCAAGACCGATTTCAGCCAAATAAGTCCTATTAAGTACTAAATTTTTTTTATGATTATGAAAGCTAAGAGTCTGGCGCATTTTTCAGACAGGCTTAGATTTTGAATTTCCACCGTTTTAGATTTTTAATTTAAAGTTAAAATTTAAGACATAACTGACAAAACGTAAATTTTTAACTTTAGAAAAAAGTTCTTTACTTTTAGTAAAGATACGAAGTTGATTATTTTATGCGTAAAAGGACAACTTATGAAGACTCATTTGCAAAAATAAAAAAATCTCAAAAAAGTCTTCAAATTTTTATTTTAAGTTTTTAAGACAGTCAAGACGAAATTTACCAAAAAATTTAAAGAAAATTATAACTCGAAAACTGCCAAAATTCGCGGAACCTACATGGGGGGTAATTCGAATATCCCACGACCTGCCGGACCTAAAAATATTTTATGACGTCAATTGTCCGGCCAACCTGTATAAGTGTTAGAAAACAGACTATTAATAAATCACCCCCATACACACTTACATTGGTGACCCCGAACTGTACACGCCATGAGTGAGAAGGGAAAAAGTGATGGTGCACGCAATAGCACCAGCGGTGCCGAAAATAATGCCGGACCGTCGGCTGATTTGTGCCGCGTGGGCGTACGCGCGCCGCCATTTTACCCACTAAAACCGGCATTGTGGTTTGCTCAACTTGAAAGTCAATTTGTGCTGACTAATATTACCACGGATACTAGAAAATTTCACCACACAATGAGCAATCTTGACCCAGTTTACGCAGCGGAAGTCGAGGATATAATTATTGAATATTTATTTATTTATTTATTTAAAACTTCATATATACATGTGGTATATAGGCGGACTTAATGCCTAAGGCATTCTCTACCAGTCTACCTTGGGATGATGCAGAGATATAATGAAGTAGGAGTAATAAAAAGGTAATATGTTAATACTAAACTAAAATAACAAAAAAAATTGTAGCACATCGAAATAAAATACATAAGATATAAATGGTAATAAAAAATATAATATATATATATATATATATATATATATATATATATATATATATATATATATATATATATATATATATATATATATATATATATATATATATATATATATATATATATATATAAATATACTTATAAAATAAATTATAATAAAAATAATAAGATAATAAAAATGTATATTACTTAAGTACATATTAAAACGTCAGATGTATGTAAACTCATGAAGATATACAATTATAGACATAATCAAATAAAATATATATATATATATATATATATATATATATATTTATATATAAAATATATATAAACTATTACTATGATGAATCTGCCAATTTATTAGTTTAAGTATTCCCGAACCTTCATCTTGAACGCGTAACGATTGCTAGCCGTCCTGATTTCGAGAGGTAGTGCGTTCCAAAGGAGAATAGATTGAATGTGGAAATGTACCTGGATATTAATTAAATCATATATAATATATAATTCTGTAAGTAAATAATATAATATAAAAATATATAATATAATATAATTATATCTACTGTTAACAAATATGAGCGGATAAAGAAGGAACTTGTGAAAAGACTAACAGCGTCACGAGAGAAGAAAGTCGTGCAACTACTGACCCGCGTAGAGTTAGGTGATAGAACATTTTCACAATTTTTGAGACACCTGAAGCAGCTAGCAGGCCGTGACGTAGCGGAAAACTTCATGAGGACTATCTGGACCAGCCGCTTACCAACCAGCACGCAGTTCATGATTGCATCACATTCTAAAGCCGGGTCCAGACATGTATCATTTGCCCGATCCGATCACCGTATCCGTATCGTCGACGCGTATCATGATCGCATATGTGGACGGGTAATGATACGCGTATCATGATACGCGATCTCGATACGCCGTTATGATACGGCCCGTCCCATGTCGTGTCGGTTTTTGTCCGATCATCAAAGGTGATACAGATACGGACGTGGGTCAGTCTGGACGCGTCACTCGCGACGCTCGGTCGATTGCACGTGGGCGTTATTTTCAGTCCTTGCCGTGAAGTAAAAACAATGAATTGGAACAATGAAAATGTTATTAAATTTATCGAGGCCTATAAAGAAAAGCAAGTACTATGGGACCCCAGCCACAAAAGCTATTACAACAGGAATCTGAAGCAGGAGGCCTGGGATGAACTCTCCGTCGAAATGGAGTGTCCAGTTGGCGAATTGAAGAAAAAGATGGATTATTTGTTGGCAGTCCTTCGCCGTGAAAAAGCAAAAATCACTAAAACCAGCACAACAGGAAAAGGTAAGTAGATACTTCTAGTGCGTGCAAAATCTATGCCGGTTTGTGAAGTTCGCACAAGTCGGTTTCCACCCATTGATGAAGTATACCAGTCTTCTTCGTTCGCTTTTAAATATTTGCAATTTCTGATGGACACAAGCAAACCTCGCCCGAGAATTAATACTGTGAGTATCTTCAGCACAACCACATTATTACGTTTAACTTTAATTATTTATGTTTTTTTTTTATTTAAAAAATAAAAAAATTACAAAATTTTTATTAGTGTCCACCATGTGGTTGGCACGGCGGCATATGCTACGGCCTTTAAGTCTAATTCATATGATCTTGCCATGATAATTTTCCGACTGTACAGCAATATTCAGCAATTTTATCCCTTATTATCTGGGCCGACAAAGAAGGTCTGCGTGGAGTATTCGTGATAGGCAATAATGAAGTTATATCGTTATTTTCGAAACGCCATCTTCCCGTTGTTACTGACCCTTCTACTTCACTATCAATACTACCTGGTGGTGCATAAATTTTAGCAGTTTGTACTTTTTATTAAAAAGTTGTGAAGATGACATATTGTCATCACAATCAGTTGTGCCGTTTCAGGTTGGAGTAGCATTGGCTTTCGTAGTACTCTAAAAACACTAGCTGAAATGCCAAAAGCATTTTCAACCACTCGTCGAGCTCTTGATAATCGATAATTAAACATTTTTTTTAATGATCGTTTAGGAAGTACACCTGGATATGGCTTCATAATATGGATACCTAACGGGAATGCACTGTCTGCTACAAAATAGTATGATATAATGTTATTCGTTCCTTCTAATAGTTTCGGAGATGGAAGATTTAATGAGTTGTTTGAAATTTTTCCTTGAGAATGGAATCATTAAATACACCTCCATCGGACATTTTCCCTTGACACCCTACATCGACAAATATAAATTTATATGAAGCATCAACTAAAGCGAACATAACAATACTAAAAAATTGTTTATAATTATAAAACTCCGATCCGCTATTGAAAGGTGCCTGCAACATAATGTGTTTCCCGTCCATTGCACCAACCACGTGTTCAATCCCAACAGTTTTGAAACTCGGAACTAATTTCCTCCCATTCTTGATGCGATGTAGGCATCTGTAACAAATATATTATAATTATTTTATTTTGTTTCCAGGAAGGCCAAGATCGCGCTTCAAAGGATAATACATCTGAAAATGAGGAAAATGACCACATAGGTGAAGATCATGATCAGTCTCAAGATAAACAACCCCGTGCCACCGCGAGCATTGAATCGGACCAAGCAACCGATAATGCAAAGAATTCATCAAAATCGGAAATCAAATCTCCACTTCCGATAAAGAGAAAATACGTCGCGAACCAGGACCCAATGTTGCAATCGGTATTTGATTTGCTGAAATCATCGGCTTCGGCTGCTAAAGCGGTAGCTACTGCTTCAACTGCACCCGCTACTGGATTAGACCAGTATCAGCTATACGCTAATTATTTGGCAGGCAAATTTAGGGGTTATTCCAAGCAAACCTACATGACTGTGAAACATCAAATAAACAACATCCTATATAACGCTGATTGTGGACAATATGAATATCAGCGCGGGTACTCCACTCCGGCATCTACATATCCCTTGGCTGAGACTACACCTCAAATGTCTGTAAATTCTTCTTATTCAAACAGAGCACAAAGTTTAGCCCCGTACATGACTGAAAATCAAGTACATTCTCCAGTGACTCAAGTGTATGATTCGTCGATGGATTCCGAAGATTCTTTTCGTGATTTGATCCATGACATCAATTATTAGTAATACACAATTATTGTTTATTGTTTATTACTAATAATTGTTGTCATGGATTGTTTATTACTAATAATTGATGTCATGGATCAATTATTGTTTCTATAATAAAAAATATCCTACCTTGATGTTGTCTTTTAATGCCTCCACGATAGCTTGACAGGTCTCTGGAACTATAACACTTATCGATTGTTTAGAAACTCTGAATAATTATTGTAGGCTTATATAGGAATCTTCGCTGGCTAAAAATCTCAAAGTGATACTTAATCTTTCTTCAAGAGAAATTACTTTCCTGTATGTAGTATCCGTTTTTTTTAATTTTGTGGCCAATCAAATTTATCAAATATTCGAAGTCATTAGGTGCCATACGCGTGAAGTTTTTGTATTTACCACTTATGTGTTGAAATCTTAGGTCTCTCATCAAAGCTCTTCTTCCAAGTCTGTTTCTGTTTCTAAATAATTCCGTTTGCCACCACCGTCTCTGTTTTGGTTTTGATATTAGATTATTGTGAATGACAATAAAACAGGCACATGAAATTGCTAAATTCTCGTACACTTCATCCTTGAACGAATTAACCACTGGACCCGACATGAGCGGACGTACCTATATCGGTCTTGTCAGTAACCAAGCAATTTTAGGCTTGGTCGTTTGTTTTTGCGTCAGTCTCAAGCACTTACTTGTCGACAAAACATCTCCCAAAAATGACTAAATGTTCAGTTAAATGGTGTAAAAACTATAGCGGCGGAAGCAGCACTATTTCTTTTCACTTGTAAGTACATTATTTTATTACATTTAATGTTATTTATCACAAAATTTAATAAAATGTTAAACAAAATTTTGTATTATCCAACTATGTTAAATATAGTCGATATTTCTATGTATATTTGACATCTGCCAACCATCACAAAATGGCTGGATTATACCATTGAGAAAGTATGACTAAAACTGTGGAGTGAGTCAATTTGACATCGACTAGTGCTTGATCATGTCGAAAAATATATCGATATTTGACGATATGACCGAATGAATGGTGATGTTATTTGTACAATACAATAACACTTAAGAATACTTATATCACAGTATCCTACAATCTGATGTCATTAAATTTATAATTATAATTTTTATAATTAAATAAAAATATTATAAATGCAAAAATTATAATTAGTATCTGTACTTAAAATTACACGAATTTTCAGATTTCCTAATGACCCTTCTCGGAAGAGAAAGTGGGCAGAAGCAGTTCGTAGAGATGAAACCTGGATTCCGAAGAAATACAGCGCAATATGCAGTGTACATTTCGGTACTGCCTGTTTTAATACTAATGCAAAGAAACAGAAAAAGCTCGAAAAAGATGCTGTTCCGACATTGTTTTTACCGATATACGTGAGTTTATTAAAATGACTTACTTACATTGATGACATGACAAAAAATAATGTTTAAGTACGATTTTCAGTTTCTTCAAATTTTTTTGCCTACGTATTATAATACAGTGCTTTTTTACAGTCACAAGAACTAAGCTGTGATACCATGCAATGTTCGAATTCAAAATTTCAAGCATCCTCTTCAATTACAATATCAAAATCATCTCCAAAAGTTGGTATTGCCTTTAACGTTGAAATATTTATTATTTGTACCTTTTCAACCGACTTCAAAAAGACTTCAAAAAGGAGGTTCTCAATTCTTCAGGTTTTTTTTGTATGTTTGTTACGCTATGTCTCCGCCAATTGTGGACCGATTTATAAATTTTTTTTGCATTCGAAAGAATATGCTCTCGAGGTGGTCTGATATTAATTTAATAGAAATAATCTATATAAATTTAATAATTAAATCCTGTTTAGGGTTTTTAAATAAATAAACTTTATATTAGCAGGTATAAAGGTAAATCTCTTGTTTTTAGCCACAAGAAGTAAATAACAAGCATTCAATAGAAAATGTTCAAATCAACCAATGTGTGGTAGTACTAGCTGAAAATACAAACCCCTTACAGGAAGATGTAAGTTCAAATAGGTATAATTTTGTTATAATAATCGTAATCGATCATCATCAACTAGATCTGAATCGAATTATAGAAAATTCCCTACATGTTAGTATCACTATAAATTCGGTGAAATAAATGTGTTAAGCCTTGCGACTAAGCGGGAAATGCACCGTGCATCCATAATGGCGGCTGTCGACTGCCCAAGCACCGGTCGCTTATTTATTATGGACAAACACACCAAAATGTAGTTTTTAGTGGATACCGGAAGTGATCTTTGTGCGTTTACGTGTTCTGCTGTAAAAGAACATCGCCAAAAAATTAATTTTGAACTATGTGCAGCAAACGGTTCTACAATTAATACCTATGGTTATGCTCATTAAGTTTTAAATATAGATTTACGCTGCGACTTTTCTTGGCAATTTGTTTTGGCCGATGTAACTAGGGCGATAATAGGAGTAGATATCTTGTCTTACTATAATCTTATAGTTGACGTACGCAACAAACGTTTAATAGACAGAAATACAACCCTCGCGACCTCGGCTTTGCTTGCTCGATTTTCTGATGATGTTTCCTTGGTAAAATTAATGTTAGGAAACAGCTTACCATAAACATACTCGCAGAATATCTCGACATCACCAAACCACCAGGTATCCATCGTACACCTACACACAACACAATACACCACATACGAATAACACCAGGGGGCCTAGACAAAGTCACATTTTCAGTAACGACAACGATGTTAGAGAACTCCAAAATGTATGGAATTGACATATGCTTTCGAAAGATCACGTGATCGATTGTTATCGATCGCTAATTGCTAGACAATGTCAAACTGCGTAACGAAGCGAGAAAGAAAACGAACAACACGAACGATATTATCTTAGCAATGCGTAGACAAGTGGCACTTTTGACATTCTAAATCGCTAGATGTCGAAACGTTCATTCGACAACTTGGCAAACACTTGAACTCTTTAGAAAAGCAAAATAACATGGCTGATTGTTAGTCAGCTGTTGGTGTTGTTTGCATCAATTATTGCTTGTTTCTTCTATTTCGTGGTTATTTGATAAAAATGCATAGATTTCGTTTACTAAGGGCTGCACATAATGAGAGTGTGTGGTTGAGACGTCAAAACAGATACAATTACCGGCAAAAAATGGAAAGAGTGGAAGATATGCTTGAGTTACTGTTTATTGAACATTTCCGTTTGAATAAGAGCACCTTTCGGCGGCTTTGCAACGATTTGCGTGTTCACACGTCACTAAGAGGATCTAAAGAAATCCCTTTGAAAATTAAGGTAACCTTACTAAACATTTACAAATAAATAAATAAACAATAGATTTGATGCAACTAAGTTTGATTTCAACTTTTTCTTTAACTCAATACTTTGTGTTTTGAGGTGTTCTCTGCTCTTAGTTTTTTAGCTACTGGTTCCTATCAAAGGATCGTGGGTGTTAGTCAAAATTTAACACAAAGAACAATGAGCCGGCGTGTCCGGCAAGTCGTTGATGCATTCAACCACCCCACACTCATGAGCAAGTGGATTCAATTTCCACAAACAGTACAAAAAAGATCAAAGAACAGTAACTAATCATGCTTATGTTTCTAGTAACGTGGTTAGCTAAAAAAATTAAGTAAAATATCTTAACTACAGTAATTATTAAATTTAATTATCATGAGTAGGTTGTTACTTGTCTGTCATATTATATTACAAAAAACTTCATTTTCAGATTTCATAGGAAGTATAATTTGCCTGGAGTGATAGGACGCATCGATTGCACCCACATTGCAATAGTAAAACCAGCTGAAGAAGAGCACATGCTTTCTATAACAGAAAAGGATATCATTCCTTAAACGTTCAACTTCACCATCCCACCAGGAAAACTCCTCGGTCTACAACAACTACCCCCACGGCCGACTCAGAGAGCATGTCCCAGCAAAATCTTCCTGGGAGAATTGAAGCCATCCCAAACACATCTTACCGCAACTCACTCATAAGTGTCTCTTTTGACAAGAATCTCAACATTACAACTTCCTCTCATGTGGCAAAAGCTAAACCCCTTGTATCAATATGTAATTTGCCCATCAGTCCTAAGGTTGTTTGTAACATCTTAAACCAGGATCTCAATTTGATCATTGCAAACCTTACTCCCAATCCAAATTTCTTTTCCAATTTCACTACAACTGACAGTAAGGAAGACCGAATAAAGATGCTCAGGACTACTTTTGGTAAAATCTCTTCTAAAGAGGGTCAATGGATCCGAGAGGATCTTTCCTTTTAAGACAAACAATAAATCCAAACGTAATTTCTACCATTCCTATAATCATCTAGCAATAAGAGTTTGTCATGACTCCCCGCCGATATAGGTTAAGAGTTAATCATTAAGACAATTACTCAAATAATTCTCCTAAATTTTATGTAACATTAATGTTTCTACCACTCTCATAATTTTTATAATTATTCATAAAAAACCAATCAAAATAATCCATTATCTTTCATCATTATAGAGGATTAGTTCGCATACTTTATCCATAACTTAAATTCAACGTCATCACAATGTCTTCCTTATTAAAGATACTCTCAAAGACCAAACAAAAGGACAAGGAAAATGATAGTAAGAATTCCACCAGAATCCCCAATGATACCTGCAATTCTGAAAGTATCTCTTGGAATACAGGTAGAGGGCAAGATAAACACAAATATGGTACAGGACTACTTTTCACTAATAATTTTGGCTCTCCTCCACGAAATTTTAGAATCAAAGGGCGACTTTCGTCCGGTGCTCCCCTCTTTATGGGCAGGGTTAATAAAGATAATCACCCAAAATGCAACAGTGCATCAATTCTCCATGTCTATTTCTGAAATGGTCTGTGCAACCGCCAGTGAGACATAAGAAAACACGTCCGTACAGTTCAACCATTTATTGCGAGAGAGGGAGGTCACAAACTACCTTCCTTATACTAACAATAAGCTGACCCTACATTACAAATATCTCCAAATAAAACGACTTTACCGAACAAGTCCGATT